GATGAATTCTACCGAGTGGATACATCATTAATAATTCTAAGACATTTGTCATTTACTAACAAAAGCTTAAAAAATTTTTAATTATTAGTAAAAAATTTGTATAAATACACACACATATAGAACATATAGAAAATTTTAAATTTGGCAGTATAACAGTAATAACTCATACAGAAAGATCACCAAAATTCAAAATATACCAAAATCCTACGTACGTACGTAGTCAGATATGTCAGAATTGATTAATTTATCCAAGATCACTAAAAATTTTACAAACAAAATCAGCCTACGTATTCATTAAGTAAAAATGTCAAGTTAATAATTTTGCGCTATGTAGACTATATTGGCTACATAGCATTGCTTAATGTTAGCCTAGTTTGATCTAGAATTTTGGTGATTCCTTTATAAAACCTATGTACGTACAAGATAAATAACCTGATATGCATAATTTTTTTAGTTCTATATATATATATATATGTAACTAATATACCTGATTATTTGACAAATTCATATTCTTTTGTACTTGAAACAATTTTTCACTTTGTTTTGGTGTTGTAAAGAAACTGCAATACCAACATGCACGAGCTATTAGGACTTTACATGGAAGAAGTTCCTTTCCAATTACCAATTGCAAAGTGTGAGAGGTACAACGTATATGTATATAATTTGATAATAATGCAATTGCTTTTTTTACATTTGCACTATTGTCCGTTGTAATACAAAATACTTCATCTTTAATATTCCATTCATTAAGTATATCAGATATTTCATTGGTGATATTTTCTCCTGTATGTGGATATAGAATATGTTTTATTGCTAGTAATATTTCATGCAAACTAAACTGATTATCTAAATAAGATGCTGTAATATCTATATATCCTTGTCGTGATTTTGCTGTCCTCAAATCGAGAGTAAGAGAACAACTTGCCAAATTTTTTGAAATATTAGAACCTATAGTTTGTTTAACATAACTATAAGATTCTAACAACATCGATTTAACCATCTTTTCTGAGGGTAATTTGTAAGATAGAAATGCCTCTGCCATTAGCTCAGTAAAACCCTCATCAGTTAGAACTGAAAGTGGTTGTTGATCTTTGACTATAAACTTAACTATTATATTATTTAAATGTTTTTTTTAACAGGTTTTTTTCTATTACATCTTTCGGCATATCACTTGC